GTCCAGTAGTCAGAGACTGAATACATTCATCATAAACTATACATAATGTATTGTATATTAACATTGGACTGTTTTAATTATTGCAGTATTTAGCACAAAGACTTGTCGTAAGTGGGATGTAAGGATTCTTAAAATAACATCTGTACAGATGTGAAGCCCTGACTGTATCTGACTGATCTTTAATGAAAGTTCTTGTCTTGGTTTTTATTTTCCTCTGAAAATATGAACCTTATAGTCATACACAATTTATTTAGCCTATGTAGTTGAGGGGACAGGTCTGCTCTGCAGCAGCAAACTGATATGATGCTGATTTACATAAGAATTCATGTAAAATGGAGGTTAAACCATGAACTGAAATTACAGAACGCCTGTAAAGCATTTTAATAAATCAATCTATCACAATTAAAACAATTTAAGACTGAGACTGCACTGATATATGTCTGATAATACTTTAATAAATTGATATCATATGTGAATGTTTCTGTGACTTCCTGTACAGACTGAGGGCTGCTGGAAACTGTTGACTTCACCACAGCTTTTTGTCACGGCCTCCTGCTGCAGTTGCCTGATCTCGTCCACTTTCCAGGCGAAGCACAGTTCGTCTCGAACCAGCCTACTGTTTCACGTCTGGACGGTACTTCCTTCATGCTCTCACTGTCTTAATAGCACTGAGGCCCTCTACTGGTTTTGGACTGCAACAGCATACAAAAGCCACTTGCAACACATATCGTCTTAAGTCCTAATACCCATGGATTCCCAATCATCATTTCTAAGTGGCCTGCCATTCAACATGAACCTATAGTTGTTCCATAATGGAGAGTTATTGATCTTGAAGTCGATCAGGTTCTGGAATATTTTCACAGTGGAACAAGAAAACTGAATGAAAGGATTGTCAATGTTCTTACACAGGGGGCCAAACCACAGCCCCTGTAATGAGACCTTTTCTTTTAACATATCTAAAGCTTCCTGTTTAATGCTTTCCCATTGTGTTTCTTGAATTAAGGCCACAGACTCATTTCAAAGAAGCTAGAGTTAAATGCAGTACTTGAACACAGAAGGTCCAGGCCCCCTTTTCCCTGTTATACAAGTTCTTATCGCTAATCCTTGGTGTCTTATTATTCCACGTTAATTATCTGAATATTCAGACACTGGGACAAATGTTATAAAGGACAGGAAAGAGGAGACTACATGGGATCGTTTCAGGTGCTGATGTTACCTGAGTCAATTACAAGGCTTGGGCAGTTCCTGGGGAAGGGAGAAATGAGTGAAATGTGCACATGATTGAGTAGGAGAAATGTTGAAAGGGGTTGAGAGGTTGAACAGGGAGTGCAGAGGGACAAATATAAGAACAGGAAGGAAGAAGTAGGTTTGACAGGCGTTAAGTAGCTGAAGCCTGACCCTGCTCTTGAACCTGAGCTAATCAGTTGACTTTAGTTGATGACCACTGTTCAGTGTATGTATGTATGTA